TGAGAGAAACTCACACTAGCGCCCAAACGGTGAGAGATAGAGCAAAACGGACGAAATTTGCGTCCAAAGGGCTCTACTTTGACGAGTTACCCCTTAGGAGCTCATAATTTTTTGATTTTTTTGACCTACCCCCTTTTCTTTGATACCCCCTTTCAGCCCTTTAGGGTTGGTTGCCAGGATTTGCCGTAGGCGTTTCGTTTTCTAGGAGTGAACCTTAAGATACCCTGAAAATTTGAAGTCTCTAGCACATCTCCTTCTAGTGGAACAGACAGACAGACAGACACACAGACAGACACGAGGTCGTTTGCATAAGCCCGCTGGATAGCTTTTTCAAAGCAGAAGGGCGGGCTAAAAACTAAAAAAATGTTTCCAGGAGTTTTCATCCAAAATGACGCCTGGAAAACACTATTACAACCCAAGTAAAATAAGCGATATACGACTTACCCTAGTGGCCGGTGCGGTTACATGTAGGCATGTAAACAATATGGCCGGCAGCTGCCACCTCAAAGTCAGGAGGTAATCAAAGAAACCAGGTTGAACGCGTTTCAGGGCATTGCAAATCAAAAGTGTAATGGAGCAGCGACAATGGCGTCGAAAAACAGCAAACACTGTCGACAAAACTCAGAAATCTGGTTGTGAATGAAAGTGTGGTATTCAAGCTAACCCTTATGTCTGCGTCGTCTGCGACAAGTCCGCCGAGCAGACAATCAGCCGGGAATAGATCGCAGACAAACCTTAGTTCACTGAAGACAGAAAGTTTACGCGATTTCAAGCAGCATAGATCAAGCTTAAGCTGAAACTAAATCCTACGAGAAAAAAAATCAAATTGGTTTGTCAGCAAAAACCGCAGAGAGCTGTCGGGATCTTAGAAGTCGGTCGCTTCTATCGCGACTTGAAAGAGTAATTTTCGATTATTTCCTTTGAGAGCTCGCTTACAAGCTCACGGCAGGGAGCCATATTACTACGGAAGGGTCGCCTAAATGACCATTTATTTTGTAAGCGAGACGGTAAAGGAAACACTACCCCTTCATCAAGCAGCGGCTGTTAACAGCAAAATAGAACTAGTAAGAAATAAGATTGCAACTCAAACTCGCTTATCGTTGAGCTAGAGGGACAGATTTACTCACAAACAACTTGTTTTATGGTTTCCGTGCAGCTTTGCCAAAATGTAAGCGGCTCCTCGATGGAAACAACCACCTCAATACTAGACACACCCTTACCTCTTGACATTGCATGAATATTCCCTGAAGGGCCCAAAAGCCGCTTCCACGCACCGACTGCCCGAGGCAAGCGCCCAAAACTATCCCCTAGTCACGGCAGTCATGTTGAAACCAAGTGTAACCGAGATGGTCATGATAAAACTACCCCACTCTTAGATTGTCTCATGTTTTGGAGATTTGAAAAGATAGAGAGATGGGGATGCACACCCAACCCGCTTACCGTTGTGCTAGACTGACAGGCTTGCTCTTAAATAAAAGCAGCTCCGCAAGCAGCTCTGCGGGCAGCACAGCAAGTCACCGTCAACGTGTCTGGTAGAGGTTCCGCGGTTCAAGCGAATCAGATGCTCTCAGGATCAAGTAACCATGTTTCATGGGCATTCGTCATGAAAACCAACCTTGCATCTGAGGGACTCTAGGGAGTTGTCTTAGGTGTTGAGGCCGATATTGTCAAAAATAAAAAGGCCTTCTCAAGGATTGTATTGAGTGTTAAACCAACTGTTTATCCTATTATTATGTCATGCACTGGGATTATCAGTGCCAAGTGCCAAGTTAGCCTGGGACAAGCTGAAGAAGAGTTTCTCTGACATTGGTCTCACATGAAAATTGTGGACGAAAGAAAGCTCTTTCGTTAACGTTTAGAGAGTAGTATGGAAACTAACCTAAATGACACAATGAACTGCGATCAAGGTAAATTTAAAATAGATTAAACTTTGGATGACAAGTAATAATGCTAGCTGGTCTAACATAAGATTACGACCTCTTAGTGATGGCAATGGAAAATACCGCAGCAGCTCTAACTTCTTACGACAATGTGAGTTCCAGGCTGCTTAACCAGGCCAGCAGGCGGGAAACTCTGATCTTTCCACCGGCACAAGACAAAAAAGAAGATGTTGCCACTGTTGTGGGCCTGGGCCAGCGGTTCCCAAACTTTTCCGTCTCGCGACCCTAAATCAACCGACCAAAATCTTCGCGACCCAACTCTGAAATTGTCGCGACCCCCCCCCCCCCCCCCCCCCCCCCCCCTTCCCAAAAATAAATACAATGAGCTGTTTCTTAATTTTTTTATGCATTCAGTGGCTTCTGTGTGCTGGCATTTTACTTATGAGTTTACTAATTCTTGCTGAAGTGTGTCTTGTTGCCGCAAGTCGAATGTCATTCTTGAAGTCCAGTCCGTTTCGGTGTTTGATTTTTAAGTATGTTAAGTCTGAGAAAGGTGCTTCCGAGAGGTATGTTGTTGAGAATAGCAGGAGTATCCGTGTAGCGCGGACAGAAATGTGTGGGTTATCAGTCGATAGAGAAGGCCAGAAGGTGTCAAGTGTGGTCTTGTTAAAATGCTGCAGTGTCGTGCGGTCTTTCTGAAGATCGCTGAGCCCTCGTAGATGTCTCAACGGCATGTCCCACTCTTCTACACGAAGCGAATTTCTCACCCAATCTATCTCCTCCCCGGGCAGGTCGCCGAACCATTCTTCTAACTTCGTGGAGAGGCTGTCATGATGTGCAGTAATTTGATCTTTTATCACCGCGTTGTCATCTTCAAGGATGTCGTGCAGGGTCGGGAACATTTTGAATGTGTTGTTCAGCGCTTTTCTCC